TGTCATTGCGATCGACTGTTTTTTGCAATGAAAAAAGCTGATTGTGCATTAGCAAGAGGCTTCCTGACAGCAGTGGACAGGTTTTCTCCATTAAATAACCTCTAAATTCCATGTGAGTCTTTCTTTAGGGTTGTTTATGAATATGTGTCCTGGTGTCAAGCTGCAGACAAAAACCCATCATTAATTTTCCATAAGCCTTGTTGATGTGCGACCCACGCTGACCACCCTTCTGATGAAAAGTGTGCGTTTATGTGAGATTACAGTTGTTTATGTACAACCCCAATTCCAGAGAAGTTGGGACATTTTGTAAATGACATTTTGCAATAAAATCAAGAATCTGTGATTTGTTCATTCTCTTTAACTTTTATTTAAAGGGGTCATATGATGCGATTTCAAGTTTTCCTTTCTCTTTGGAGTGTTACAAGCCGTTCGTGAATAGATAAGATCCCTAAAGTTGCAAAGACTAAAGTCTCAAACCCAAAGAGATATTCTTTATAAAAGTTAAGACTTGTTCACGCCCTCCTAAAACGCCTCATTCAAACATGCTCCCACATGTCTACGTCACTGTGTGGAAAGATTTGCATAACACGACATATATTTAATATAATATAATTTTTATAATATATAGGCATAGTACATTAAATAATATTCAATATAACATGATAGATAGATAGATAGATAGATAGATATAGATTGATTGATTGATTGATTGATTGGTTGGTTGGTACCTTTTTTTGTTGCAATCAAAAACACAAATTGCTAACAAGACTATAGCGTTGCTGACTGCGAGGATGTGAGTTTACATGCTTGATGAATCGAACAGCCGATTTGCCAACTTTACCCAGCAAGCTGGCAAAAAGGTCTACACCATAATGAAGTGCACCAATTAGCTTTAGTCGCGGTGTTGGACAAAAGGTCAAAATAAACGAGGAGAAGTGTTTTGAAAAAGTACCACAATAGCTGTTACTTTCAGAACAGCATTAGAGGACTCCAGAGGTTGCCAAAAACAGTAGGTAATTTGCTCTGTAATTTTTACACAGGCTGTGTGAGGAAATACACAGACGTGTTCAATTTGGACGGCATTGAAATCACAAAGTGCAGCTGAGAAACAAATTGACCTGACCTCCTCTGAGAGAACTAGTCCTGTCCTAATAGGGCAGAGAGGGGTGGAAATGAGCATGATGTCGTCATCTGAAAACAAAAGTCATTTCACAAACAGAGTTCGCTAATAAAGCCTTGGTAAATATCAAAACAAACATCTTTGCCACTGTCATGTTATAACAATGAAAAATACTTTTACAGCGTTTATTCTACTTTTTTTTTGTTCAAATAAATTCTGTTTCAAATAAATTCTGTACATTTGAACTTTCTATTCATCAAAGAATGCTGAAAGTAAGGAAAGTATAACAGTTTCATCAAAAATAAGAAGCAGAACAACTGTTTTTCAACATTGATATTAAGAAATGTTTCTTGAGCAGCAAATCAGCATATTAGAATGATTTCTGAAGGATCATGTGACACTGAAGACTGGAGTAATGAGGCTAAAAATTCAGCTTTGCATCACAGGAAAAAAATACATTTTTAAAATATACTCAAATAGAAAACAGTTATGTTCAATTGTAATAATATTTCACAGTTTTGCTGTTTTTACAGTATTTTTAATCAAATAAATGCAGCCTTGGTGAGCAGAAGAGACTTCTGTCAAAAACATTACGACCTCAAACGTTTGAACAGTAGTGTATGTTAATACAATTTTATAATTTCAAGTTGCATAAATTACATCGATGTAAGAATGAACATGAACTAAAAATGATCAGTAGTATACTTATAAGTTAACATTAAGTTTTTGCTGTTCATTGTTAGTTCATGGCACCTAATACCAGAAACAAGCATTATGAAAGAAAATATGGTCAATTATGATTTCATGCTGACTTTAAGCATATTACTGCTTTCCATTTTCTGTCTCAGCAAAATATCAGATTGCGGCCTTATTATTTTTTCATCCTGTTTTCCGGCCTCCCATTGTTCACTTATTCTTTTGGCCCTTTATGCTAAATCTAGTTCCCACAAAGCTTTTATCTCAGATGATCGGCAGTTTGTGTCTTTTCTCTGTTAAATATTAACGTGGCGTTTCTGACCCTCTGATTTCAAGTTCTGAGAGAAAAGTTTTTTTGTTTTTTTATGTGACTTCTTCAAACATCGCTCACAGCGCAAATGTAACGTCCCGCAGAGATGTCAACGAAGACAGCCGTGAGCGAGTGAACCGGATGGGGGACAAGAAAAGAGCAGTGCGTTTCAAAGCGAGCATTTGACTGTCGGTGCATTGTTGGGAGTCGGAGGCAAGGACACGTCAGCGTGTGTTCTTTTTTGAAGCCCTGCTCTCCTGCTTTTATCAGAAATCTCTCAGAGTGTGAGATATCTGCATTCACTTCTTGGCTGTCATTGCGATCGACTGTTTTTTGCAATGAAAAAAGCTGATTGTGCATTAGCAAGAGGCTTCCTGACAGCAGTGGACAGGTTTTCTCCATTAAATAACCTCTAAATTCCATGTGAGTCTTTCTTTAGGGTTGTTTATGAATATGTGTCCTGGTGTCAAGCTGCAGACAAAAACCCATCATTAATTTTCCATAAGCCTTGTTGATGTGCGACCCACGCTGACCACCCTTCTGATGAAAAGTGTGCGTTTATGTGAGATTACAGTTGTTTATGTACAACCCCAATTCCAGAGAAGTTGGGACATTTTGTAAATGACATTTTGCAATAAAATCAAGAATCTGTGATTTGTTCATTCTCTTTAACTTTTATTTAAAGGGGTCATATGATGCGATTTCAAGTTTTCCTTTCTCTTTGGAGTGTTATAAGCCGTTCGTGAATAGATAAGATCCCTAAAGTTGCAAAGACTAAAGTCTCAAACCCAAAGAGATATTCTTTATAAAAGTTAAGACTTGTTCACGCCCTCCTAAAACGCCTCATTCAAACATGCTCCCACATGTCTACGTCACTGTGTGGAAAGATTTGCATAACACCGGAATTCAGTTCCCCTATTTCCCCTTTGGCGTGCATGCTGACCACAGTCTATGATGTTGACAAATAATGCTGACTCACAGCCTGTAAGTACATTTTCATATTTAAAGGATTTGCCAATTGTCTTGATCTAATAACCATGGACTTCCCATGAAAGACATCATCTTGATAGCAGTATATATGTCTGTACAATCCCAATATATGCTTCCATGTCAATAGTACCTTCCCACATATGGCAGTCACCCATGCCGTTTGCTCTGCTGCACCCCCGTACCATAACAGACGTTTGCTTTTGCTTCTGTCGCTAATGAAAGTCTGGATGGTCCCTTTGGTCTTTGGGATTGAGAATTCGAAATCCATTTTTCCCGGAAACAAGTTGAAATGTGGATTTCTGAAGTACTCCTGAGCCCATGTGGCTATATTTAACACTGCAGCATGACGGGTTCTTATGCAATGCCATCTGAGGGCTCAAAGGTCAAGCACATTCAACTGAAGTTTCCTGCCTTGCCCTACATGTACTGTGATTTCTCTGGATACCCTGAATCTTTTCACAATTTTATGTATGGTACTTGGTGAAAGACCTAAATTCTTTGCAATTTTGCATTGCGAAATGTGATTTTTGACTTGTTTGACACTTCTGCATTAGTCCAATACAGTTGTGTTTGAGAAGGATTAGGTGTGTATTGTATTAACATGCATCCTGGGTGGGATGTACAGCAGTGACATAGTCAGGATTGGGTTGGAACAAATGTTGTAAGTAATAAATAAAAAAATCACCCAATGAAAAACCTGAGTTTGTTACTAATCTAAACATTTAGGTGGCTTGCATCCTATAAATTATCCTGTTATCTTTGTGTATAAAGTTTTTTTAAGTGTTGTTGACTCATATGTTGTTGTTGACTACACACACACACACACACACACACAAACACACACACTGCTGTTTAAAGGTTTCTTATGCTCATCAAGGTTGCATTTATTTGATCAAAAATACAGAAAAAACAGTAATATTGTGAAATATTATTGCAATTTACAATAATAATTTTATATTTTAATATACTTTAAAGTATAATTTATTCCTGTGATGCAGAGCTGAATTTTCATCAACCATTTCTACAGTCTTCAGTGTCACATGATCCTTCAGAAATCATTCTAATATGCAGATTTTTCTTCAGTGTCACATGATCCTTCAGAAATCATTCTAATATGCTGATTTTTTTGTCAATGTTAAAAACAATTGTGCTGCTTAATATTTTTTGGAACCTATGCCACTAGGATGCTTTGAAGAATAAAAATTTAAAAGAAAAGTATTTATTTAAAATAGAAATCTTCTGAAACAATATACACACACCACTGTTCAATAGTTTGAGTTCAGAATTTTTATTTTTTTATTTTTTTTAAAGAAATAGAATTCATTCTTTCATTTAATTCATTTAACAACAATGTGTTAATTGATAAAAAGTGAAAGTAAAGACTTCTATTTTGAATAAATGCTATTCTTTAACTTTTTGTACTTTTATATGTATACTTTCCAATGGCATCCAATCAAAAGTATTCACTGAGAAGCTGTAAAGTGCTGACTTAGCCAGTGATCCCCATTTCTCCAAAACCCTGCCCTCCAAAGACATCAACCAATCCAATGTCTGCAAAACCAGACATGCAAAATGATTGACAGACAGAGAGCATTTCTGATTGGCTTAAAACTTTCAGATTCTTTTTTGCTGATTACAGGGCCTTGTGTTGACACAGAGATGTGTGTGATTTCTCAGGACACCTATTTCAGTGATATCTGCCATTTTATGAGCGTTATTCCCGGAAAATCAGTTACAGCAGCTTTAATACCAGGTGTAAAAACTACTATCGGTCTCGAATGGCCGTTTGTGAAGGCATCACCCGAGACAGATGTTAATACAAGCGGTAAACAGAGCCCTTGTGTGTGCGTGTGTGCAGTTGAAACACTCTCTCTCGTTCTCCAGGTGCTGTTTTTGCTCTTGTTGGCCATGCCGGAGGCGTTGAGCAGGGAGGCAGTTGTGGACGTCCCGCTGGCATCATCTCTGCTCTCTCTGCCCTTCTACCTGCTGTGTCTGTTCGGCTCGGCCCTTCACGTGCTGGTCTGCACCTCCGCCGGGGGCCCCTGCTACCTCTGCTCTCTCCCTTGGGTCCTAGTGTTCACAGTCATCCTCTTGTCCTCCGCCTTCACATGTGCTCTGGTTAGTATGGTGGCAAGGAGGATGCCGACCAGCAATAAGACCCCTACTAAGGTGAGTGAAAAGGTTTCTGCACCATGATGTAAAATCCATACATTCAGTCCATAATTCATAATAACGCTTCCTCCAGTGAAAACGTACATCCCCTTTTGTCCTCTCACATCAAAATCCACCCACATCTTTGTTTAGAGCTGTTTTGGACTGTTTTTGCTTGTAAACAGTGCTTGGTCTGTACATATTTCTCTCCTGATTCAGATGAAACAACTTTTTCACTGGTGAAAGCAATATTATGGATTATGGGCTCATATTTTAGCCGGAAGCAACAGTTAAATGTTAAAAACCTCTTAGTGATGGATTCATGTCACTGTTGAAATCAACAGTGTCCAGTAAATAAATCATGAGAATAAATAGGGCATTTTTTACTATTATTATTGAACTATTATTCGTTAAAAAAATGTTGCCCCTTGTCTTCCATTGGTGGGACAAACAAACAAAGCAATGTTTTGCCATCGTGTTTACGCTTTTCGTGGAAGTCAACCTGTGAATGTGTGTCTTGTAGTCGTCTCTGCACATTAGGCTGTGGTGGGAGAAAGTTTTTGAACATCAGAAGCATCACACACAGCAGCTTTATGTCTCTGGAGGGCCAAGCAGAGTTTCAGATTTTCCATTTTGCTCTAAACACCAAAAACAAACCCTGATTGAAGTTTTATCCTTGGCAGTTTATTTAAGGGCGAGTAGAGAAAGCTCTCTAGTTGCTTTAGACACAGGCTTTGCTGTAAACGCAATGTCCTTTACTTGTTTAAAGGTCACGTGTGAACAGGAGCTGTTGTCAAAAGACGGCTTTGACAGTAAGCTCGCTTAAGTTGCTTTACAACGATTTGTATCGTGAAAAGCGCTATACAAATAAACTTGAATTGAATTGAATTAAGAAGTAAAAAAAATTAAAAAATAATAATAATTACACTATTAGAAGTTTGAGGTTGGTAAGATTTGAAATTTGACAGTCTTCTCACTAGAGCTTAATTATTTGAACAAATATACTGTAAAAACTGTTTTCTATTTGAATATATTTAAAAATGTAGTTTATTTCTGTGAGGCAAAGCTGTATTTTCAGCATCATTACTCCAGTCTTCAGTGTCACATGATCTTTCAGAAATCATTCTAATATGCTGATTTGCTGCTCAAGAAACATTTCTTATTATTATCTATGTTGTGCTGCTTTCCAGGATACTTTGATTAATAGAAAGAAAAATGTATATGTATTGTAAAAAAATTCAATGATTTTTCTAGATATAGAAATAACACTTTAAATTATATCCCTCTTATATCCAGGTTTTGATTCTTAAATAAAATTGGCAGTTGTTGAAGGTATTACACCCCGTGTCTAGTTGCACGATAAGGGGCGTAATAGTGGTGGATTCCCGAAAAAAAAGAAAGAAATCACTCCGGTCGAGGATCAAACAGGAACACATTTAAATAAGGAAAACTGCTACATTTGTTAGAGACTGTGGGGTAAGATGAAGAGTATGTCTTCGGGGTGGCCACAGGCCAAAATAACAAAAGGAGGAAAGGAAACTTGAAAAGAAAAATAAAGAAATTAAATGACCTAATCGAACAATAAAATAAGTAAGGGATAATGTACATCCTGCCAGATGTTATCACAGAATAACTCCCAACAGGGTGATCAGGACCCCGCTTATTACACGGTTACTTGCCAAATAAATAAATAGTTGAAATTAGGGCTGCACGATTAATCGAATGCGATTGTCATGCGCAAGTTGTTAGTAATGCCGGTTCTGTATTCAGCAGGAAATCATCCTTTAAGAAAGCAGTTGCTTGCAAGCGGCAAACTAGACTGACATTTAAGGGATACGGTGCAGTCATAGTACTTATTACACGTCATTTCACCACAGAAATAAGCATGGCGATAAAAGATATTTAAGATGAAACTGTAACCAGTTTGTTAGTTATCTTATAATCCATTACAATGAACAGAACAATCATCGCAAATGGCAGCAGCTGCATTTATATGAATCAAGAGAGAGCGAGTCTACGATACCAGGATGACATAATTAAAAAAATTGTAGACATAATATTGATTTGAGTTTTAATATTTTATTAGCCAACCAAATGCAAAGCTTCCATGAAGAAAAACTGTTCTTAGCAAGCATATAGTGTGGACTTCAGTTACCCGGATGAGCCTGTTATTAGCTTTTTCAGGTTGTTATCGAGGAATAACATATCTCGGAATGGCGAGATTGACCAATCAAAATCAAGTATTCCCCAGAGCTGTTTAATAATGTACAGCAAACTTAGCTCATTTTAAAGCATTTTTGTCTTATTTTAAATAATTGTAAATTATCTTGAGGCCCCAGGTAAGAGATTTTAATAATATCAGCATCCTTCTTTGATGACTTTGCGTTTATAAGAGAAACACAAGTTATGAAAAAATATTTAAATGAATGGATTCAAATACAGTAGCAGTAGAGATATTCATAAAGCATCTTTAAACAGTTTTATTTGGTTTGTTACTTTAACTACCAAACAATCAGCAGGTGTTTAGGCAGTAATGTTAAAAAATAAATCTAAACCCAGTTTAATCCAGCAGTCAGACATCACAGCTGCCAAAGCTTATATATACTGCCATTTTAAGTCATTAAGAAGAAAATGATTTATAGCCCATTATTGACAGTTTTCAATAATAATGCATTTACACCAAGAAATCCAAATCCAAAATCTAAGACAATCTAGGGTGTTATCGAACTTTTGGAGGAAACTGTAAAAAGTCTTATGTAAGAGGCAATCTTAAACACATTTCTTTGTTAGTTTAAGATTGAACAGCTGTTTTGGCCTCCATGATGAATGTGAGATGAGAATATGACCATCATATCAGCCTATTCTTGCATCACGGGATAGAAATGTCATCATTAAATATCGGTGAAGTTTATAGCACTAGTAGAGTCATTCTCATTCAAAAAACATTCTGGGTCATGTTTCATCCACAAAATCATAAGAAAGGAAGAAGTTGTGTTGGGCTCACAGAGTCTTCTCGCTTCATAAAAACTCCTCTTAATAATGCATATCTGCTTTTGGCCTCCTCAAACAGCAGAGACACAGGGAAAGTGTTCAGGGATAAAAAAAGGATTTGCTCCAGAGTTAATGAGATAAGAAGAGGACACCTCTTTTAATTACCTCTTTACAGGAAAAAAAGATCTCCCTCTCTCTCTCTTTCTGTGGCACGCGGGAGAAAATTGCTGACAGTCAGAGGTGAGAACAAACAGAATGATCATTAGAGAGAGAGCGGTGTGGCAGAGGAGAAGAGAAATAAGACGAGCCGAGTGAAAGTTTTGCAGCATCACTCCTCGATTCCCAGTCGAGTCCTTTTTTGCTTTTGTTGATTGTATAATAAATAAAAAGAAAACAAATAGATAGAATACAAAAAGATTAGAAAAGCTAGTGTTAATTATTATAAAAAAAAAAAAAAAAAAGAATAGAATTAGAATAGAGAGTGCTAGAGTTAGAGGGTCAAATAAAGATGGAACAGATGTGTTTTA